GTGTTGGTTAACGCATGCTTAAAAAATATATATATTTTATATATAGAAAATCGTTGCTGCATGTCTATGTGTCTGTTGTGTCCGTCATTGTCTAGGATTTAAGTCTAAAGAGATGCACCAATATGGTGGCTAGGTTTTGTATGGTAATTCCTTGCGAATCCCTAAGTAATTGCCATCCAAAACGGGCCCCTGAATTTGTGGATATCTATTATTAAAAACCTGATTTTCGCAGCTCTTAAGTTACGTATTAACCATATAAGAAAAATCTTGTAAATTCTGAGGCTTCAGCTCACGAATCTCATCCCGTGTATTCCTTTGTTCTTGTTCTCCCCCAATATCATGTCTCTCATCCATCCAACATCGCTCACTCTGCTAACAAAACAAAAACCAAAAACAAAAACAAAAAAAACCTATGAAATACTAGGCCCAATCCGACATCGAGTGGAAATTTGGCTTGTCCAAGCTTATACGCAATATGCATCGCACCACAACAGCGCCATCGCCGCTTAATTTAGTTACCACCTGGTTTATGTGGATCGTCGAGAAGGTCAAGGTAAAATCTCAGGTGACAAAAGGCCGCCTCCCAGCCGCTGTCGCTATATATCTCTCTCTATCCGTATCCGTATCCGTAACCCTGTACCTGTACCTTTTTGACTATATATCTTTGCAACTACCAGAACCGATTCTGAACGGGTGTAGTTTGCTGACCTTTTCCCCAACCCATTTAAAGCAATTTGGCAACAACCGCAATGAGTTTGTAACACTGTGAATGCTTTAAGTGTGTTGTCCACCTAACTTAACACCTCTTTGCACTTAACACTATTTTCATGATTTCAAAATACAGCAGGCTGATCGAATTGAAAGTTTCTTTAATATGTTAATATATACTTTCGATCTTCTGATGTATGGCACCAACTTGCACCCAATTGCTTTCAATGTAATTAAACTTTGCTGACTGCGTTTATGTTGTGTCTCTTGTCTTGTATGTGATCTATGTCCCGTGTCTAATGCGCCTTGATCTAACCCACAATCCTGCAATCCTGCAAAACCCAAAAACACGCGACTCAGGCACGCATGAAGAAAAAGAAGCGTCCAAGTCTGGTTCAGATGATGGGAATACGTCAGGCCAGTCCGCGAACCAAAGCCGGCGCCAAGTGGCTGTCGAAGATCAAGAAAGGTGAGACATGTATGTATCGCTGAAGGGCTACTCTTCGACCAGAAACCCGTATATATATCCTGGGAATATCAACCCAAACCAAGGGGTTTTGTAGCTAACAGCGTGTCAGCCCAAGCGTAACTCTCTATTCCATCAGCTCTACTGACTGTCTTGCTATCTTTCCTCAACTCTCTTCTCTAAAACCATTGGCTCGCTCTAGCTCAAAATTCTTTTCCTCAACTTTCGACTTTTCCTATGCAAGGAGATTAAAAGGGCGTTAAACAAGATTATAATTATCTAATTTAAAAATACAAAATTAAAGTTATCCCAAAACTCTACATTTTAAAAGTTTTTTAAGTTATTTTTTGACCGAAAATGTCTGGAAATTCAAGAATATTTTAGTATTAAATATAATCAAAAAGTTTATATTTAGGAAGTAAGTCATTAAATCTTGTTTGCACGGCCTTTTAGTCTCAATGAATCTCATAAACCAAAGGAACGCTCGTGCTAACAATATTTTCCTAAATCCCCAGACTCAGTGGCCCTGTCCCAGGTCCATTTATCGCCTCTGGGATCGCAGGCCAGCTTTTCACAGGCCAATCAGAATCGCATCGAGAACGTGGCCGATTGGGAGGCGATTGCCAAAAAGTATCGCGCTCTGGTTGGTGACGAGGAGGGCGGATCTCTCAAAGACTCGGATGCGGAGAGCGGATCACAGGAGGGCAGCGGAGGCCAACAGCCACCGGCACAGGTGGGCAGACGAGCCATCAAGGCCGCCCCGGCAAACACAACAAAATAGACACAGAACCACAGAAACGACACTTGAACACCATTTTGGATGGTTAATTAACTAAATTTTGATTTCAGGTCTAAGCTTCAACCTATCTCTTCCAACTATCCTTCCTGACTATCTCTCTAACTTCTTCTCGACTATCCAAGCGTCTGTCCTTCTGTATATTCCTAAGCTGTAATCCTAAGAAACTCTATTTTCTAAGCTGCACTTTAGGCATGGTTTTCCCACGCTCCAGTTATCATTTTGACCGAACTGGCGTAAGGGAAGGCCATTCTAAAATACCTAAGCTAAGCCTACACTTTCTAAACTAATTTTAGCTAGAATATTGAAATTGTTTTGGGTAACTTTTGAGGCGGAAGTAGTTATTTATTTTGATATGATTTTGTGTCGGCGATTTCTACGATAAGCGAAACAACAAAACAAGTTTTCCATGTTCGAGATTTTTGAAATAAGTAAGTTTACTCGTCCCTTTTTGGACCGTTCGAATATGTCCACTTTGCCTTACATTTTTTAAAACGAACTCCTAGCATTTTGTATTAGGCTAATACTAACTAATACCGACGATTACCGATCGAGCTTAGTGTTAATTATGATTATTTTTAGCTCGTAAGTACCTAACGATAGCTTCAATCGGTTTTATAATAATACCGCATAATATCATTGTTTTTGGGTAAGTCTCCGGATAACAAATCCACTTTATTTACTAAGCTTGATTCATTTTTTATAAGAAATGTACGCCTTAAAATTGTTAACTGTACTTGAGTGTAAATAAAAAAGTCAAATTTAAAAAAAATTTTACAAAATGTGAATTATTTCGAACGGCTTCTTTGCATATTCAGTACTTATAGGCAAATAAACATTTCCACATTCGCAAGCGCCTCCACATTCCAATCGTTGTTCGGAGTACCCCAAAAAACGCCAACGATGTTTCCACCTAATATATCCGGCAAAGAATTATGATTAGCTCTGGAAAATCAATTCATTAGTTGTATCTATGAACACAGAATAATGGTTGTCATATGTTTACCGTTCAAGACATCTATTATACCATAATGCATCGAATGGGCCAAAGCAAAAATAGTTTTTATCCATGAGATATATGATTTCGGTTTTTTTTTGGAAATTTGGATTTTGTTTACTGCTCAACACCGCTATGGGGAGAAAAGTATACACAAAGTTGCCAAGTGTAAAGTCAGTATAACGGAAGAAACTAGTGGATCCATCCTCCTTTTTTACTTTTATATGCAGTTCGTGTAGACCTCGGCGAGTCCTCATGTATATTTTATATAGTCCAATAAAAAATTCGCCATCGAAATCTCCAAATCCCTTCCCATATTCGTGCGCGGGTCGTTTAAAGTTTTCGGAGCCATTAAAACGTCTTTGTATTATGAACTCTATAGGACAGGCTGTTACTTGGTCAATTTCTGTTGTGCTTATCTCTTCGGAAACCAATTCGTTTTCTGTAGTACTTAGCCCTTCGGAAACTAAATTGTTTTCTGGCAAAACTGATTGTGCTCTAGTAAGAACTACTAAGAACAAAGACGACAGCCAAATCTTCAAGAATGTCGATTCCATTGTTATTCAGTATTGGCGTGGCACAGTAGACTTCAAACTAAACTTGCGCATAGAAATCCGCAGCTTTTATAGGCTGAGTTCGCTTAAGATAAGAATAATTGTCGCCAAAAAACTTATTGTGTAAGAATTTAGGATTATCAGCAATTTTGAAATCTTAAAAATAGAAACGCTTATCTGAAGAAAGGCTTGGGTTTCCTAAAACTATCAGCTTACGCCGCAAAATCGAAGCATTACAATGGAAATGCCATTATTTTTGTACAAAGAATATACTTAAAAACAAGAGGAAACGCTATAGTCGAGTGCCGCGACTATAAGATACCCGTTAATGTTTTAGTGGAAATTCACAAGGCGCCACCTATTGTCAGAGGAAGTATGTTGAGTATGCTTATAGTGACGTCACTGCCCTTGTGAGGCCTTTTAACTTTAATTTCTTTATAAATAGCGAAATAATGTTCCGATTTGAAAAATCTTTGGTAAATCGATAGATATTAACAGAAATAAGTAATACGAGGTCAAACGAAGGCATTCATAATAATATTATAGACGCCACAGTTTTCCGCGGTTTGTGGGCGTTAGAGTGGGCGTGGCCGGATGCAACTTCGTGGCCAGTTGCACAGGCATCTCTTAAATACGTGTTTCTAAGCAAAATTTTGTAGTTCGTATAGTTTTTGAGATTTTTGCATTTTTGGTTTTTCGGGTTTTGTTGGCGTAGAGTGGACGTGGCTTGATCGGAAAAAAACAATTCGCATTGGGAGCATCATAAAAACCTACATGCTTAATCCAAACTTTCTATCTCTTATAGTTACCGAGATATCAGCTTCTCTAGAAAATCCGAAAACCGTCTTTTGAGCTTTGTGGGCGTATGGGTGGGTGTGGCCGGATAGTAAAACCACTATAAGATGCGCTGGCATCTAAAGATTATACTTTCTGAATTTCAACTTTCTAGCTCCAATAGTTCCTGAGATTTCAGCAATTTTAGTTTTTTTGCGATTTGTGGGCGTTAGAGTGGGCGTGGCAGGATGCTGTAATAAACTTGCGCTGTCCCGGGACCTCAAGAATCTTCATGGTTAATCTCAACTTTGTATCTGTTATAGTTCCAGAGATCTCAGCGTTCATACGGACGGACGGACAGACGGACGGACGGACGGACATGGCTCAATCGACTTCGCTATTGATCCTGATCATGAATATATATACTTTATAGGGTCGGAAACGCTTCCTCCTATCTGTTACATACTTTTCAACGAATCTAGTATACCCTTTTACTCTAAGAGTAACGGGTATAATAATAATAAATAAATAATAGCTGGGGACTCTTATAATTTACTTATATTATACATTTTTCTGTGTAAGATCCAGTCATCCATCGGAGTTGAGCGAAAACTAAACCAGGCCGGCAGGCTGTAAATGCTGCCCTTCCGCCGCTAATTTAAGCTACGAATATCAGCATGAATATCAGCAATAAAATATTTATAATCTCATATTTCTTGATTTATTTTTATAATCAATATACGCCTTAAAAGCGCTAACTGTACTTGAGTGTAAATAAAGAAGTCAAATTCAAAAAGCTATTTGTACAAAATGGGAATTATTTTGAACGGCTTCTTTGCATACTTAGTATTATTTATAGGCAAATCAACATTTCCAAATTAGCATTCCAATCGTAGTCATTCGGAGTACCACAAAAAGCTCCAACGATGTTTCCACGAAAAATATCCGAAACAGAATATAAGCTTAATTTTCTGTAACATCAATTTATAAGTTGTAGTTATAAACAAAGCTTAATGGTTGTCATATGTTTACCGTTCAAGACATCTATTATACCATAATGCATCGAATGGACCAAAGCAAAACTTATGCTTATCCATGAGATGTATGACTTCAATCTCTCTTTGGGATCTGGGAGTTGATAAAGAATATATCGCACTATTTTGTAAAGCAAGTATCTGAAAATAGTTTCCAAGAGCAAAGTCGGAACAACGGGAGAAACTAGTGGATCCATCCTCCTTTCCTACTTTGATATGCAGTTCGTGTGGACCACCGCCAGTCCTCTCGAATATTTTCTTTATTCCCATGAAAAATTCGCCATTGACATCTCCAAATCCATTCACATAGTCGTACAAGGGTCGTTTAAAGTTCTCGGAGCCATTAAATCGTCTTTGTATTAACAACTCTTCTGAACAGGCATATCGGTCTGTTACTTGGTCAACGTCTGTTGTGCTTAGCTCTTCGGTTGTACTTAGCCCTCCGGAAACTAATTTGTTTTCTGGCAAAACTGATTGTGCTATAGTAAGAACTACTAAGAACAAACACCACAGCCAAATCTTCAAGAATGTCGATTCCATTGTTATTCAGTATTGGCGTGGTACAGTAGACTTCAAACTAAACTTGAGCTTAGAAATCCGCAGCTTTTATAGGCTGAGCTCGCTTAAGATAAGAATAAATGTCACCAAAAAAGTTATTGTGAATGAATTTAGAATTATCAGCTATTTTCAAATCTTAAAAGTAGAGCTAAATCTAAGCAAATTTCTAGAATGAAAATGTAATTGCTTTTTAAATAGAAAATACTTAACATTAATAAATAAATTATATTTCAGGCCTCTTATATTTGACTTATATTATACATTTTCCTTTCTTACCTAAGGCGCCCTCTGTGGTCCATTTATAATACTTACAGTTCAACTTCCTGTGTGTAATTAAAAAGGGGAAATTGCGCCCTCTATCGTTAGTGAAGGTTCTAAAAAGGTCACTATCAGCACATACACCAACCAATCACGTAAGCATAGGTGTCGCTTTTCACATAACCAATTTTCTTCATAAGCCTGAACAAAATTTATGCTTTAATTGTTTAAATTTAAAGATAAATAAAAAAATGTATTCATTAAACTTGTAATAAATACTTTAATGTATATTTTTGTATGTTATCTTTTGAAGAGCAATGCCATTTAAATTGTTGGGAATATTCTCTGAATTCAAAAAAGTTTTTCGTTCTTAAACGTTATGAGGCATGAAAAATAAATTTATGCAAGATTTGGCATTTGTTTATTAACATAACTATAAAATATATTCAAAACCCGAGTTTCAATGAAAAATGTGTCAGAAAACGTATATGATTGGCCTGAGAAAACTGCTAAATGGGTTAAAATCTCTCCTTTAAACCATGTAATTATTACCATAAAGCTAAGAACTGGCAATAAAGTTGCCTCAATTTGCTTGCTGAATTGACAGATTGCCAAAAGACACACAGGCGTCATTAGCCGGGTTAGCAGAAAGAAGCAGAAACCGCATCGGCAAATTGACCAAGGTGTTGAACTTCGAAATTGCATTTTAATTTGGTTTCAAGCTGCAGGTTGCTTTTGGTGTTGCTGTTGCTGCTGTTGCAGGTGTCGCCCAGTCTGTTTTGGAAGTGTTGAAAACCTCAAGTGGTCAATGACTGGAGCTTACTGCACTTGCACTCGTATTATTACACATAATTGCCCACGTTGCTGTTGACATTGTTGCTCTGTGGCAGTTGCAATTGCAATTGCAGTTGCTGGCCTGTGCTTGATACTTGCCACAGATAAAATTTACTCGTACGTAAATGAAAACAAAAACCAAACAAGTTTCTGGCCGTAGCCAAGGTTTATGGCCACAAGCGTGTCAATTTAAGTTGCAATTAGGCAGTTAATAAATTTACCGATTTTGCCAGTCAGATTATGGCCAAGATGTCAGCTGATTAATGCCCACTATCCCAGCCCGATTCGGTAGCCCCAAAACGTAGAAACTCAAATGGTTTTAAATCGAATTCAATGCTGGCGATGTTGTCCGTCATCCATCAAAGGTTTCTTTTTGACCAGGAAGCAGATTCGATCCGGGCGCAGCATCAGCCTTAGCCACAGCCTCGTGCAACATGTGTGTGGTGTGTTGGCACAGCAGGTGACATTTCCAGGCCAGATCAGGAAAATGTAAATAAATGATCGGACAACGGACGACACCCATATGATCACCCAGGCAAACACGACATGGAGCAAGTTGTACCTGGTTATGTTTATGTTCATGTTGCTGTTGCTGTTGCTGTTGCTTTGATATACAAAACACTTTTTCATATCGAAATTTGTGATAGGCCGTGATTAATGGCGAGCGACACAAACACTTAATTTGACGCCAGGCCCGTAGCTGGCGCCTTGGGGAAATGGCAGAGATCTGAAAGCAAACTCTTCCACTACACAGAAAGAAATTTAAAGTTCGGTGAAACCAAAAGAAATAGTGAATTACTAGACAAAATAGTAGATGATATTCGTATTTTTATCATAAATCTGAAATCTTCGAGGTCATCAATGAAAGTAAGCCCAGTTTAGTACCAAAGTGTAAGTAAGATGTAATTCCTGACATAATTTATAGTTTTTAGGTATTTTTTTAATTTTATATTATTAAATAAAAGCAAATAAATTATTTTTTCTCCGTGTAACTTTAGATTAGCTGCTGGTTTGCTAGCTGGGAGAAACAATAATCTCGGGAAAGATTAATTATTGTAATCACATCAACAGCAGAGCCATGCGAACGGATTCGGATTCGGATTTGGGTTCAGGCTCGGTCTCGGAATGGGAGTCACAGAGAAAAAATAAGCAAACACGAAAATGATCAATGATCATCGCTGGGTTCTCTGTTGATTTTTATAGCGAACGGGCGATCGGCTGGCCTGGGTTACACATTTCATTGGCTAATCAAGATGCTAATTTGAAGAAGATTAATTTGTGTGCGAGTTTCTGACTGCCTGCCAGGCATACCCGAAGATCCGAGAGATTATAATCTGCTAAGCAAGAGGAAACTGAAGGCTTATTATTAATACAGGCCAACACAGCCCCCAGAAATGTGTCTTGTGTTTAATTAAATACGCATACACTGAAAGAAGTCATGGCTATTCTTGTATCTTAATGATATCATTAGTTGAGATAATACTTTAAAATTAACAGAAAACTTTTCTTGAAGTGCATTGGCTGAGTGTTGGGTTGCCTGTACAGTGACACGCAGATTAATTGAAATTTTATGAGTAGCGCAGACGTAAACAATCAGCGAGACCACCTTTTGCCAGCCCCTAAGGTCATAGGAGCTTGGTGAGATCCCCTCGACCACGGATCGTATATCCAGGTTCCAGCTTCGACTCTACTAACTGGCCAAGTCGACGGCGCAACTTGGCAACGGACAGCTGTTGCTCACCCCGTGGCCAAAAAGAAACTTGCAACATTTTGAAAAATGGACCACAACCAGGCACAGTGGCTGTCTCTTAAGATGTGTGGAAAATTTTAAGTTTAAATGTTTGGAAAATAGCTTAAAAGTTAATCAATGATATTCACAGACTTAGTCTGGTAGACTTTAATTACCTTAAATTATACGGTAATTAAAATATATCTTTTAATAAATTTAACTTTTACTACGTACCACTGTGCCTTATGATCCTGCTGACGCGATCGCCACGCTAATTGATAGACTGTGAAATTATTTAACAACGGCTGGAAAGTGAGCTGAGCCAGGCCATGGCCCAAAAGGAGCTTCCAAGCGTGGCCAAGATGGGTCAGAAGGCTTTCGACCCGGTCATCAAGACCCGGATCGGCACTTCTTTTGGTTGGCTTGGCTTGGCCCCCGGCCACTCATCCATCCAAGCGAGGAGCTGGACGTGTTGGCTAAGTGAAAAGTGTTAAAAAGCGCAACTCACGGCGACCAGAGTTTGAAGACAAATGAGGAGAGTCTTTTGACATTTGCGAAATTTGAAATGTCAGCCGGTGAGCTGCTGAGCCGGTGCCCCCCAGTTGACGAAGGTCCCGGATGGGAGGTCTCGGATCCCGTGGCAGATCGCCACGCTTTTGGCAGGGATAAGTTGCGGGAAATTTAAATTAAAACTCAGGTGAAAGGTTATTAATTTGCAAGTGGAACTGGGGCGTAGCTCGGCTCATTGTTAATACTCGAAATCTCTGCTCATTGGGGTTAATGTTGATGGCACTTTGACAGGGATGATGATGATGATGATGGGGATAATGACGAACGCCAGCGGCGATGATGCCAAATGAAATGGCAACGACAGAAGTGACTGCGATGACTTTAATTAATAAGCTTATTAAGAGAGATAGAGACTTTCTTTTTGGCAAAGAAATGGAGAAGAATCTTAAAAGAAAATATTAAGCTTAGGGAATACTACGATTTACTCAAATTTGTATGCCCTTAATAGAAGATAAAGGAACATTTTAAGGTTTAAAATAATTCATAACCTATGGTAGGCCACTTTTCTTTAATTCCCTTTCCTTTTATGGCCATAAACCCTTCGAAAACCCATCGATCTGTCTTTAAACCTTTTTCCTTACTATCCCACAAAAGCTAGTATCTCAATCTCTGTCGCTTTTTGCGTTTCAAGTTGCTGCACAGCTGAAGTGTGAAATTTGCTTAGCTAACCCAGGGATCAACCTAGGGTTCCAACTCCTCCAAGTTAAGGACAAGATGGGCCCCTCCGGCTTGGGCATGGGATGAAGCTACATAATTCGAGGCCCGAAAGATAGGTAGCCCGGCCCGAAATGCCAACGAGCCGTGGCCATTTCCACTTGGTAACGGTAAGCGAGGGAAATTCAGCACGCACGACACACAAAATGCGGCGGAGGTGGAGTGAGACCAGGGTCTGGAAAATAGGCAACTGTGTGACCATAACTTATGCGCAAATTATTCGATTTGGAGGCGTAAAAAATGCAGATACCCCGTGCACAGCTACCCAATAATGGCCAGTCTGTCTCTCTATCTCTACCGAAGAAGCTGTGAAAGTTGCACTGCGACTCGGGCGGGAGAAAGAGTGGCAAATTTGTAGAAAATTGAATGCCACCTACCCATCGTCGGTAGCAACAGATTGTTGCATCAAAAAACAAAAAAAAAAAAAAAAATTATAACTGACCACGTAGGCGGCACACGGATGCCGATGTGTAATTTTTGTGAATTTATTTTATTTGGCAACCGCGAATTCACTTCGTACACTCAGAAAATTTATAATATTTTTGGTTATTTAATGGCATTGAAAATTTATAAAAATGAGTTTAGTTTTGTATAATTTTAAGATCTTAAACCAATGAAGAAAAGTAGTTAGTAAGATTACCATATAAAGATTACTAAATCATTTTTTTCCGATATCTTTTCTCAAAGTGACTTTAAAAATCCGCAAAAAAGCAGCAGTCGTAGCAGAATCAGAGAAAATAATTGGCAAGTTGTGGGAAAGATTTCTCCCTGGGCACTTCGTCTAATTGAAATTCCCATGCTCATCGCTCAGCGCCTCTAATGGCGACCCCAGCTGCCACACACACACACAATCTGGAATCTGGCCGGGCCAATTTAAGCCAAATCGCCCAACGACACGCACTTTTGGCCAAATGCACGCACT